AGTACCCTCCACTGCACACACTTCTTTGTCCATGATTCTTCTAGAGACAGAATGTGCCAAGGAGGAGGCAATTCTGGATGTGCAATTCATGCAGCATGACCTTCTGAGATATAACTAACCATCTTTGTAATTCACGTTAGATTCGTGGTAAAGGTCTTGATTACGCCATGATTGCTAAGGACTTCAACCTGCTCAAGTGGCTGGGTGCAAACAGCTTTAGGACGAGTCACTATCCCTATGCTGATGAAATCATGGACATGGCTGATAGAGAAGGAATCGTGGTTGTAGATGAGTGTCCTGGAGTTGGCATTAGACCGTAAGTCTCTAATTCTCTTCTGAATCTTACAAATACTTGATGTTTTTTTGTGTTTGTTTTTTTGTATATTACTTTGGAGTTTAAGTGTCCTAGTTGGCTAATTTGTGCCACTTAGTATTCAAAGAAGTCTCTGATTGTTACTATCCAATAGATTACATGCTCTGGTCTTTGGTCATGCTGGATGAGTGGGAATAGAATGCAAAATATGTTCCTATAGGAATCCTTAAAATTTGAGCTCAGGGCCCTCTAGAATTTCTTTGATTTGTGTAACAGGTGCCTAAATATCAACAACTATTCCACAAGTGCNTTGGAATAAATTTCTACAGCAAAAAGATGTTTTGTTTATGTTATGTAACAATTATTATCTGTAAGCCTAATTCTCTTTCTGTTACCTTTCTTTTAGCAACAACTTGGGTGAAGAATCCTTGGCACATCACAAAGTGGTCATGGAGGAGCTGATCCGCCGCGATAAGAACAGACCAGCGGTTGTCATGTGGTCAGTAGCCAATGAACCGTGCAGTGACAAGCAAAAATCTGTTCCCTACTTCAAGTAAGAACATACAACCAGTTGGTCAACACTAACTTTTTGACTACTTTGTGCTTCTGCCATTTCTAAAGCCTCTTAACGGAGTGCCCTTTCTTTTTAATAGCTTTTTGGTTCATAGATATGGAACTTCAAGTTTGGAAGACTGAGAATCAGATTCAAGATAATTTAGTACATCAAACTCTAGTTAACACGGCAATTAAGCCTTGTGCGTTTGTCACAAAGGTTAAAGACCTCACCAAACAGAGTCACAAGGTGCAAATTTCCATCCTGTTTGGACTTGCTACTTTATTTACACCAAGAAAGCTCGCGCACATTCGAGAGTACATGTGTGAGAAAGACAAAGAAATTTGTCGGGTTTCATAACCATTTTCCTCTATTAATTATGCAATGGCCAACCACAAAAAGCTATTCACCACACATACAGGAAGCAAACGAGAACTCGACCCAAATTTAGTTTACTGTCTCGAAGTTCTTGAAAAGAGGAGTGATGATCTTGGTTTTGTAGCTGACGCGATTTTTTAATTCCCGGGAGTGTTCAAAATCTAATTTCTCATTACAATACCTATACATTATTGAACAAACAGGTGACGAGAATACAGAAAATCATCAGCTAAGCGATATTGTCTTGATGCACTTCCAAATTCTCAGAAGTGACATGAAAAGATTTGGTGACTCTTAATTAAACCAACAAAGAAAAACGTATATTTTGGATTACTGGAATTCAACGTAAATCACTGTATTTCACATCTTGCGTCTGCTCACGACACTCTTTGGCCAGGCCTTAACAGCTTGGCAGCGTCTCTGGTTCTCTGTGGTGTGATCGATATAACGAACATCAGTTGTTTCACGATGGGCCATCGTCACGGTAATAATTAACTTACAATTTCTTTGCTTTTTGCTTATTTTCTCCAGAGCTCTGTTTGACCTGACTCGCCAACTGGATTCTACGCGACCAGTGACGTTTGTTACCATGTTCAAAGCTTGGAACGATAAAGTTGTAAGGAATGATACTTCTAGTTCAGTTTTTTTTCCCTTTTAATACTGTTAGGTAAGGTAAGGTAACTTTATTTTAAGTCGTAAACGTAGGGAGTGATTGCCCAATCTCCCAAGCTAGGGGCTCATGACAAAAACGCACGACTATTGACAATAACGTTACTACTTACAATTACTATATTCACTAAGATGAAGCCAGAATTAAAATATAAAATACTCCTAAAACCAACTAGTCCTAATATTAAAAATTCGAGTTAGTATATACAGTTCATAAACTGGCACCCTGCAAACTCCACACCATTCAAACGAGAACGAAATTGTGCAAACGAACAAAGCTTGGGTAACCTTAACGATCTATTCTACCTAATGACCAATGTCAACTCTGGTTTGAATCAATGGCGACTACAAACGTTAAACTCCACTGTCTCTCCAAAGAAACTCTGATTGATCTCCAGTAGGCTACTGTTAGACTAACAAGTCTATTAACTAAAATTTAGAAGCGTGGCGAACGTTTTTGTTTGTAGAGGGGCCGGAATAGGAGGGGGCAGCGCCCAGTAATTTTCCCCTGTACCCACTACAATCGTTTTAGCAATAATGTTAAAACATCAACAACATCGTAAAGTAATTACGTTCAGTTGTGAGGAGCTACTTCACCGTTTGCGAATCTCGAAAATTTTAGCGTAAATTTTTCAGGTTCGTCGTTTGTAATGCGTGATGATCTTCTTCAACCTTAACCATCCTTGTTTCTTTATTGTTTATTGTTATCTCTTTGGTGTTTTTCTATCTTAGTTGACTACTGTTTTCAGTTTAAAGGCAATTTTGTATGTAGTCAAAATAACTCAAAATACCGTTACTGAACTCCTTTAAATTAACTTTTCCACGCCACCGTTTCTCGGTCTAGCTATATAACACGAGCTATAAAATCCTTATGAGATACTGTTTGTGAGCTTCAGAACAACATACACTATAGGCCTCTGATCTCGTTCATCTTTTCCAGGTGCAGTTCTGTGATGTGATTTTTTGCAACCGCTATTACGCCTGGTACCACGACTTTGGACAAACTCAACTTATTTCGAAACAGGTGGAGCGGGAACTCAGAGACTGGTTTGATACTCACGCCAAACCGGTTGTACAGGCTGAGTATGGAGCGGATACTGTGGCTGGTATGCACGTGGTACGTGCCTACAAATTTGACGTTATGAGTCTCCATATGGAGAAAATGTTTTTACTGGGTCGCTGAGCGTTTTCTTTTAGCTAGTTAAAGTGATTATTGGCTAGCTTCTCCCTTTTAATTGTTTAAAGGCGTGTAACTTTTTCAGTCGCAGGAATAAGGAGTGTTTTTTGCAAATACGATAAGAGTTTATAAGGTCCGCGTTCTCTGAACGCTGCCTGTTATGTGCAATTCGAAGCAATTACCGAGGTGTGGGTCGCTAGTTTCTATACCTCACGTCCGG